TGCTCAATACTGGTTTTGCACTGGTGTGCAGGGATAGGAGAGGGTGGGGACTAAGGAATGGCCAGCATAGCAGCAGCAGAAGATAACTGCACACTTGACCATTAGCATGACCATGAAGACAAGCAGAGCTCACAGAGCTCGCCGGCCCAGGCTGAGGGAAGACAGCAGCGTCGTCAGCCTCCACTTCCTGCTCTCTGCATATATCCCACTTTACTCCTCCCAGACTCAGCCGCTAGAATTACTGTGCCCTTCAATCTGTGTCCGTAAACTTTGCCTCCCGTACTTATCCCCAAAGAAAACCTAAGCTGCAGAGCATTTTTGAAAGCCAACCCTTTGTCTAGTGATGGAATCCAATGTATTCTCAGTATGGCGGTGGCAGGTATATGGTGGGAGCAGGTTGGCAGCCCTGCTTTGGTGTCAGTTTTCCTCAGTTGCTCTGTTCAAGTCAGTGCATCCCAACATAATCCATACGCATAAGGCCGGGCTAAGCAGCACACGCTCTGTGAAAACTAAGGGCAGTATTTTAAGGTCTTTACACATAAAATGGCTTTTCTAGTTTAACACTTTTGCCTTAGATGCTAGAAAACAAAGTTCCTTTGAATTCTGGAAGGAATTAATTTGTAGATGACATCACCATTCAGCATATTCAAACATGGCAGGATTCGGATTTTTTTAAAATCAGCATTTGCTTTTCTTGGTTAAATGCAGCCATTTTTAGGGGTTATAATTGCTTAATATGCCTGGCACATTATTGAAATCCCTATGAGCAGCTTAAAATGAGTCAGAAGGTCAATTTATTCCTTGGCCAGGTTCCTTTCACAACATGGGTTTTCCTGTGCTGCTGTTCAGGAGGAGCAATTAAGACTTTTTGTGTATTCCAAGCTTTCCAGCTGAATCCTGGCCCCATCAAATGATATCATCAGGGCTCTGGCTTTTGCCTAGTGGCGCACAGCTTTCATCTGTCAGAATCTTTGGGGGCCTTCCCCCCAAGCTTAAAAACAAGAGGCCCAAACTACAGGATGCTCTACTCCTCTGGCAGGCCGCTTTGTCACTAATGTCTCACTGCCTTCTCCAGCCTTTAAGACACTCAGCTGTACTGTTTCTAAACCTTACACAGAAACATCTCTTAAAAAGAACAGAGAACTAAAAAGCTCTCATTAAAATGTTCATAATTCTTCCAGAGTGGTCTGCCAACATTCAGTAGGTAAAAACCACTGAAAGGTCATGGCTACCTGATTCTCTCAGCTCAGTGGCTTCCCCTGCAGACTTCCCACTCAGCTTGATCTACACTAGATACAGGTCTTCAGCAGGGGAAGAATTTATAGCTCCAGCTGCCTTTGATGGGCGCTCAGAAAATCTCACTTTAATACTTAGGTAGTGTATCTCGGATCTACTCAAGTTCTACTGAAGATGAGCCAGACTTTTATGAACCATAAATGTACTTTACATCCTCCCTTTTTTCCATGAAAATTTCCCCCTTCTTTGCCCAGTTTTCTATTTTCTCTGGCTTTGAATCCTAGTATTTATAAAAAACAGAAAATGTTACAGTTCAAAAGGTATTTATTTCTTTAATGCTCTGTCCAAAGCCACTGGTCTGAGGGATGTTTCTCTCCACTTTTCCTGTCAGTTAAGAGTCTCTCTGAAGAGGTCTGGAGAATCAGGCTAACAGCTCTCCTTTCAGGGTGCTGAGTTTAATGTGGATTTAAGCAGAGGAAAGACATGTTTCTTCTTTGTTCCTGGGCTGGTTAGTAAAGAACAATGACAGATGTTTTAACAATGAGTCAAAATGTTATCAAGTCATCAACTTCAAACATGGGAATTTTACACAACACCCAGTGCTTATTCTGAGGTTGCCCTGATACCCTTATATGGAGCCTTTGTAACACTGCTCAAAGTGCAGTGTTAGCATTTCACACCTGAGGGGAAAATCAAAAGGAAGCACTGTTTTGGATAAAATGTGACCTGAAAAGCATAATGTACAAATACCTAAGGCACAAGAGAAGAGTAATTTTGTTATAGAAGTCTCATTAAGGGTCGGGCAACTAATAAATCCTTTACTTTTGGATCCCAGGTTGATGGAGTCCGAGAGAGACTGTCAGAGCAACAGTACAGCAGACTTGTGGACTACATCACAAAGACAGCCTGTCACCTGACCCCCAGCTGCTCTGCCACGCAAACATCATGCCCTGTGGTGGCTGTGGAGCCTCCTCCTTCGGCTGTTAAAACCTACCATTATTTGGTCGATCCACACTTTGCTCAGGTCTTCATTAGTAGATTTACCATGGTGAAAAATAAAGCCCTGAGAAAAGGGTTCCCTTGAGTCCTCTCAGAGGCTTGTGTAATTTATTTTTGAAAAAAAGAAACCCAAGCCAGCAGGTGGCATGGTGGTTAAGGCTGCTGGATCCCACATGATGGACTGCATGGTTCAAGTCCAAGACCTGGCAACTTGAAAAAACACATGTATGCCCAAAATCCCTAAAGGAGGGAAAAATGGGTAAGAGTATGTGACTGTTCTCCATGAGGGGTGCTTTCTCACTTTACTTTTCTGTCTCTGTAGCATATATGCTTCCTTGGCAAAATTTTTTTTAAAGTCCATTGAAGTCTAACATCCAACATGGACATAAGCCAATACTTTTTCTAAATAGGTAATTTTTTAGCCACTTCAAAAATTCAGACTACAACAAAGATACTAAAAAATAGAGTGACAAAAATTTGTTCCTTTCCCACATGGAAATAATGATTAACAGAATGTCGTATGTTGCTTTCTTACCACACATAGAAAATGCCTTTTTATGACATTTGCAAAACTTCCACTGTAACTTGGACCTGTTAATTCTCTGCTCTAATGCAAAATGTGGTCAGAGACCTTAGAATGGATAGCTAGGGTTAAAACTTCATTTCCACTTGAATCCGTCTGGGGCTGAAATACCACCTCTGCCTAATATTACCTTGTCTGCAAAGGTTTGAATTCTTGAAAAACAAGATTTTAACTTGTTAAATTTGTCACTTAACTGTGATGCTGTTTTCTTCTGTTTGGTAAACAAAAGCTCCTGTGTATCATTGATCCCTCTAAAGTCTGCAGTTTTACTGGAATTTATAAAATAGTCTGATTGTGCAAGGTATAATTTTAGGAAATGTTTTTTCTAGTTTGTTTTGCTAGGCAAACTTAAAGCAAATCTTTGTGTCTACTAATGAAACAGACCCAAAGTGCTCAGTTTACTTAGATTTCTTTAGTTCCATAAATATCAATAAAACACACCTACTAGGAACTCCCTTTGACAGTTCTTGGTGTACTGGAGGAGAGTGAAGAACCCCAACATTAATATCACAACACCAACCTAGAGTTTATTCTACTGAATTCTTTAAAAAAACATAAAGGTATTCCTAGTGTCTGATAATATAATTTTGCATCTATGAGTGCATTTGGCTCAAGATCATTTATCTCACCATCCAATTAATTAAATTAAAACACAGGGTTACTGATTTTTATCCTAAGTTGAGCCTATAATTGTTACCAACAATTGTGAGATGCTAGGAAATATAATTTCAAATGTTCCCTTATCTTCAATTTGACTTATGTGTGACATGTAAGAGTTACTACAATAACTGTTACCAGAAAGCAAGACTGTTACTGGGCAATTCAGGCTAATTATCAACAGTAGCTCCCCTTTTGTTATATAATATTCATTTAGGAAAGTGACAGTTCTGTAGCTCTCAAGAGTAACTATTTTTAAGAATGTAAATATGTATTGATTCTTGAATCTTTTATGGTAATTTTACATACTGCTTCTACAAATTGTTATATAAAATTGTTTAAATAAATAAAAGGTATCCTTGAACTACTGACCACATATAAATGTCTACTGTTACCAGGTTTTTTTACAACACAGGTTTTTTTCTCCACTTATACCTGCGTTTAATGTATCACTGGGACTCAAATTTTGCACAGGAGTTAAGAATAAGATACAGTTTTTATTATAATAAAAGAAACAACTTAGAATTAAACTAGCTTGGGACAGTTTTGTCTTAGAACTTACAGCAACTTTGATCTCAACAAAGACAAAATACAAAGAACAATCCTAAGACTTCCTCCAAAAAGTTACCATTGTTAGTTATTAACAGACATTACTTGTAGTTAAATAACTAAAAGTGTGTGTGTGTGTGTGTGTATATATATATATTTATAAATTTTAGTCAAATATATATTCTGTATTCTCTGTACATATTGTTCTTCAATAAAGCACCACTGAATAGGAACTTACAATCCAATGATCTGTTTCATCTGGTGGTAGGAAGTGCTATCAGATATCGGAGTGGCAATGAAGGCCAAGAACAGCTTTTACTGAAAGGACTTTCTGTTCCTTCTCAGAACCTACAGTACAGTAGTCTCACATGGGCTCATGGAGACCTCTTTAATCTGTAAATCCAAGGCCCACAACCAATTAACTGCATCTAGAATTATCTCACTCAAATAAACCATGTATTAAAGCAGTTGAAGATGTACTAAAACAAATTCTTAAGACATACTGAAATTGGGACCAAGCAGGCTGTGTGGTGGTTAAGGCGCTGGACTCCCCACATGGCCAAACATGGTTCAAGTCCTAGACCTGGCAGCTTGCTTTTTCACTTACCCTCTCTGGTCAAAATTAAAACAACAGAAAATAAAATTATTCTTTTTTAAAAATCCTGGAATAAAATTATCTTCATAAGGTTCATAAACTCCCCAACCAATTCTGGCTTTTAAGTGCCCTGAACTACCAATCACTGAGCAATGGAGCCAAGTGGTGATATAGCAGTAACACAACTGGGTCCACAGAGGACAAGTCCCACATACTCAGAACCTGAGTATGTCAGGTGTATGTACCCATGATCCAAGATGGCGAAAACTGGAATGGACTGTAGTGTTAAGACACTGTTGGGGGTACCTGCCTGTCTTGTTCTCTCTAAAGAAATAAATTTAAAAAACAAAACAAACAAAAAAACACACATTTGAGCCAAGATTTACTGTCCACAGTATTTATTTAACAAGAGAAAAACTATTCTTTAGCCCATGTATTCATATTTCAGGAACATGGCACCAATCCAGTGACATTCTGTGGAAAGAAACACAATAGTTTAGTTAATGATATTTTCTCTTTATACTCATTCATCATCCTCAAGACCAACTGAGGTCTACTACTACTAGTAGACTCCATACTCTGACCATTCACCTTTAGTCCCTGGTTTCTAGGTTCATTCTACTCCAAGCTATGGACAAACCATGCCATACTCTCAATGCAGTGTTAAGATGAAAACGTATCATTAATAGTTTAGTGAGGGACTAGCAGATGGCATAATGGTTATATTGCTGGACTCACAATCACATGTAATTGACTCCAGTTTAAGTCCCAGCCCAAAAGGCTTAAAACTCATATGGGGCACATGTGCGTGTATGCCCAAAATCCTGGCAGAAAATGGAGAGAAGACTGCAGTGTGGCCATTCCCCTGGGAGATGATTTCTTGCTTTCTGTCTCTCTGGTGAGCAAATGCACCCTACAGCAAAAATCTCTCTTAAAAAAAAAAAAAGTTCATCTTTTTTTCTTCAGCCTTTTTCTTTTCATATAATTTTCTGTAACACCTTCATGTCACTTTGTGAATGTCACTGCTTGCTAATGGACATAACTGTCTGTGAAAAAAATAATTTCTTTTATCTATTTTGCAGCCACTTGAAATAAAGTTCTGCTTTTCTACTATTTTAAGTAATACTATGGATATTTAGTGCACATATCTACCTGCATTTCAGGTATTTCCTTAAGATATAATACTAGAAAGAGAAAATTGTAGACTGTCGCCTTATATTAGACAAAAGTAACTTATAGTTTAAATCACCCTTGAATCTTTTAGAAAACAAGTCTTCCCAAACCCAAATATTTATTTTTAATGAAACTGAAATACACATTCAGGAAGAGTTGGCTTGAAAAAAATAACAGGTTCACATTCTCTATGTCATATCAAACTCATTTATTTATAGGGCATAAACCCAGACTGAAATAGTAGGTGGAAACTCTAATGCTATTTAAATTGTTCTCCCTTGCTTTTAGTTGAGCTTGATTGAATAAAGATGAATATATGAATTCATACATATCCATGCATTCTATGAACAGTCTCATTAGGTACTTAAAAAAGTCTTTTCCTCCTCCCCTCCCTCCCTTCTTCCTTCCTTCCTTTCATTCATTTATTCATTCAACTTTATTTATTTAACTTGACCAGAGAGAGAGAGAGAGAAAGCAAGCAGCCAGGTCCAGCACCCTTAACCACCATGCCACTGGCCAGCCCCTCATAAGGTAATTAATACATGTGTTCAAATCAATTTAGTGAATGACCTTTTATCAGCATACCAATCAGTCCTTTTCTAAATATAGAACTTTAATTCAGTCTGTCTATGAGGCATAAAGACTTTATGTACCTAACCAGAATCTGGAAGTCATCAAGTCACTCATGAACACACATACCTAACAAACTACAATATACACTCAAAAAAAGTTTTTGAGAAAGTCTCTCTAGAGGTTATGATTTTCCTAATGCCAATGTAGCAATAACCTGTGAAATGATTTTGAACACAAAAAGTAACTTCATACACCAGCAAGAAGGTGAACTACAAAATTCCAGATCCCAATCCCCCACAAAAATCACTGAACACCAGAGTTGCTCTCAGAACACTCCAAAAACCAGTTTAAAAGCTACAGCAACCAAATTAACATCTAAGTAAGAAAAAACTGCACTCCAGACATTAAAAAATTTATTAGCATTTTTGCTTGTCCTTGCCCCACTCCTTCCTTAGAACAACACAGCATGAGCATGGTCAGGAAGCTATGCCAGATACATATATCCTTCCTCAGGACAGAAAATAAAGAGTAAAACTTTCTTGCAACATTCTGGCAGGACAGAAGGCTTTGGAATGATATATTTAAAGAACTGGGGAAAAAACCTATCATGTGAGAATACTTTTATCTAGCAAAACTGTCCTGCAAAGTGAGCAAAATATTACAACATCCCTAAATAAATAAAAGCAATGTATTACCCCCAGACATGCCGTAAAAGAAATGCTAAAGGGAGTTCTTCAAGTTAAAATCAAGAGATATTAAACAGTAAGTAACTTGAAGCCATGCAAAAATATAAAGTTCTCTGGTAAAGGACAAACATAAATGTATGTGTTAATGTAATTTGGGCTTGTAAATCCACTGTTTTTTTTTTTTTACTGGATCTAAAAGACAAGAAAAAATTAATATCTATAGACTATATAAATGGGTAAAAAATACATGAAGATGTCATTTGTGACATCAATAACAGTGAAAGGTGTGGCACTGTAAAGGAGGGATTTTTGTATACAACTTAAGTTGTCTCAAATGGGTTATAACTTTAGCATGTTTTATGGAATCTCCATGAACCTGAGAGAAAATAAGAATATACACAAAATGGAATAGAGGGGATTGAAACATGTCCCACTTCAAAACAACTAAACAAAAGAACGTAGTAAAGGAAGAAGAAATACAAAAAAAGCTATAGCAGTATTCTTATCTGCAGTTTCACTTTCTGTGGTTTCAGTTACCCACAATCAACCATTATCCAAAAACGAATAAGTACAATAAAACAAGGTATTTTGAGAGAGACCAAATTCATATATTATAGAACATTGTTTTAACTGTTCTATTGTATTATTAGCTATTATTGTTAATATCTTACTATGCCTAAGTTATCAAGTAAGCTTTATCACAGACATGTAGGCAAGGGAAAATCATAGTACATAATGGGTTCAGTACTTATCTATGGTTTCAAATATATCCTGGGAATTTTGGAATGTATTTTCCAGGGAGATAAGGAGGGACTAATGTATAAATATACGGAAAACAAAACAGCAATAGATTACTTAAGGAAAGTACCTTAAATGTAAATAGACCAAACTCTCCAATGAAAAGACAAAAAAACAGAGATTCAACTATATTGTTATCTGAAAGACACTCAATTTAGATCTAAGGACACAAATAAGTTGAAAATAAAAGGATGGAAAAAGGTGTTCCACACATACAGTAACCAAAAGAGAATAGGGATGGCTATACTAATATCAAAGTAGACTACCTAAAAAAAAAGAGACAAAGAACATTAAGTAATGATAAAAGAATAAACTTACCACAATCTATTTATACATACATACAAACACACGCACACAAATGCACACACATCCCCCAAATGACACAGCTCTAAATATATTAAGTAAACAATTTGCCGAACTGAAGGAAAAAACAGCTCTACAATAGGAAATCCCAACAGTCAACTTTGAACAATGGATGAAACCACCAAATAAGACGAATGAATGAGGAAAGAACCAATACACATCAACTGGACCTAAAAGGTATGCACAAAACACACCATGCAACAAAGAATTACACTTTTCTCAAGTGCACATAGAACACTCTCCTGGACAGACCATATGTTAGGCCACAAAACAAGTCTTAACAAATTTAAAAATACAGAAAATCAGATTAATTATCTTTTAATAATAACAATAGCAAGGAAAAAAGCTAAAAGAAAACAGTAAATATGTTGATATTAAACAATAAACTCTAACAATCAATGGGTCAGAGGAAATCACAAGTAAATTTAAAAACATCAAATCAAGAAGGTAACTTGATACATTTTTTTAAAGAGAGGTTTTTGCTACAGGGCTCATGCACTTGCCAAAGAGAATGAGAGACAGAAAGCAAGAAATCACCCCCTAAGGAGGAGGTGGCCACAGCGCAGTGCCTTCTCCTCCATTCTCTCAGGATTTGGGGCACTAACGTACAGGCGCCCAGCATGAACTTTAGGACTCGAACCGCAGTCAACTACATACAAATCCAGCAACGAGTCTGCAACGGCATCTGCTGGTTCCCATAACTTTATACTTTACAAAATTCCAAAAAACAGGGCCGAGGGACCAGCAGTTGGCATAATGGCTATTTTGTTGGACTCCCATGTAGTTGACCATGGTTCGAGTCCTGGACCCGGTGGATTAAGCTCACGCCAGGTGTGTGCCCAAGATCTCAAGAGGAGAATGGAGAAGGGACTGCAGCATGACCATCCCCCCAGGGGGTGATTTCTCGCTTTCTGGCGATCTCTTTGTCTTTCTGGCTAGCGCACATGCCCTATAACAAAAACCTCTCAAAAAACAAACAAACAAACAAACAAACAAAACAACAAAAAACGGCCTAAACCCAAAGCTACCAGAGGGAAGGATATAATAGATACTAATAAAGTAGGCAATGACAAAAACTACAAAGAAAATCACCACAATCAAAAGTCAGTTCTTCTAAAAGATCAACAATATGACATATCTTACATAGACTTAAAGACTCAACTAAAAAGAAAGAAGTAGGGACATTATAACTGAGTTTACAGATATAACAAGTATTATAAAAGAATACTATGAACAACTGTATGCAAACAAACTATTGCACATAACCTAGATGAAATGGATCAATTCCTAGAAAAACAAAACCTACCAATAGTGATTCTGGAAGAAATAATGTCACCAGACCTATAACAATCAAAAAGATTCAATCAGTAATCACAAACTTCCCAACAAAGAAAAGTTCAGGACTCGATGGTGAATTCCACTACATATTTAAAGAATTAACGCTAATCTTTTCAAGTTCTTCCAAACAAATGAAGAAAATAGACTTCCACATTCATTGTATAAGGCCAGCATTATCCTGATGCCAAAGCCAAAATGACACAAGAAAACTACAAGCAAATATGACTGGTGAACACTGATGCAAAAAATATTCAGTGAACCAAATTAAACAGCACATTAAAAAGATAATACATCATGATCAAATGTGCTTTATCCCTGGACTGCAAGGATAAATGACTTACTATATATGAGTCAATAAATGGAATAGTAACAGAATAAAAAAATCATCTCAACAGATGAAGAACAAAACATGAAGAGTCAACACCCTTTCAGAACTAAAAAACAAGGTATAGAAGAACTATACTATACCTCAACATAGTAAGTCATATATGGCATGCCCCCAGCTAACATCACACTCAACACTGAAAAGCTGAAAAAGCTTTTCCTCTAAGGTCAGGAACAAGTGAAGGAAAGTCACTACTGCCACTTCTATTCAATACAATACCAAAAGCCGTAGCCAGAGCAATGAGACAAGAAATTACAGTGACTCTGAGCGGGGGGGTGGGGAAGTAAAATGATCTCTTTGTAGATGGCATTGACCTTAGATGTAGAAAGTCTTAAAGAAACACATACACAAAACCCATTAGAGCTAATAAATGAATCCAGAAAAGCTGCAGGATACAAGTCACAAAAAAATAGTTGTTTCTATACACTAATAATGAATTACCAGAATAGAAATTATAAAAATAATTCCATTCACAAAACCATCAAAAAAAAATCTTAAGAATATAACCAAAAACAAGAAAGACACGTTAAAAACTATAAAACACTACTGTAAAAAATTAAAGGTAAAGATAAAAAGCATCCTGTTGTAGATTGAAACATTAAGATGTCTGAAATAAGTTTAGCAATCTGCAATCCTAATAAAAATCCCTACAGCAGTGTTTGCAGAATCAGAACAATTCCATCCTAATATTCAGAGACTCCAAAAGAACCCAAATAACTAAACCAAATTCGAAAAAAACAAGTTGGAGGATTCATTAATTTCAAATTTACTATAAAACTACAGTAATAACAACAATGTGGTAATGACATAAAAACAAGACATATACACTAACAAACTAACTACAACAGAGAGCATGTAATCAAAGTCTTCCAAAATGGAGTCCAAATCATTCAAAAGAGAAAAATCTTAACAGTTTTGGGGAAACTAGATATCCACATGCAAAAGAATAAACGTGGATTTTTATGACACCATATAACTCAAAATCAATTAGAAGATCAAACAGTTCAGTCTTTTCAATAAATGGTGCTAGAAAAACTGGATATCTATCTGCAGAGAATGAAACTGGACTCCGTCTCTGATGGAGTTAATTCATAAAAATTAATTTAAAGTGGATTAAAGAATTAAATGTAAAAGTCAAAACTATAAAAAACTACTTAAGGCAACTGCAGAGAAACACTACATTTCAGATAAGGGACTAACAATCAGAATATGTTAAGAACTCGGGAACCAGCAGTTAGCGTAATGGCTATGTCGCTGGACTCCCACGTAGTCGACCGCGGTTCGTGTCTCGAACCCGGTGGCTTAAATCTCACGCCGGGCACGTGTGCGTGCGTGCCCAAGATCCTGAGAGGAGAATGGAGGAGAAGGGATTGCGGCGTGACCATCCCCCCTGGGGGGTGATTTCTCGCTTTCTGTCTCTATGTCTCTGTCTGGCGAGCGCACGCGCCCTATAGCGAAAACCTCTCCAAAAAAAAAAATTAAAAAAAGAATATGTTAAGAACTCAACGGCTCACACGCAATTTTTTTTTTTAATCCAACCAAAAATGGGCAATTGATCCAAACAGGCAACTCTCAAAGGAAGACATATTGTAAAATGGCCTAAAAGCACATGAAAAAACGTTCAATATCTCAGGGGCAGCAGTCGGTGTGGTGGTTGAGGGTGCTGGACTCCCACATGACTGACCACAGTTCGAGTCCCAGATCTTGCAGCTGTCCTTCTCACCTCACTTTCTCTCTCCCTCACTCTGTCCCTCTCTGGTCAAATTTAAATAAATAAATAAATAAAGTTTAAAATAATCCTTAAAAAAAGTTCAACATCTCGAGAAACATGTAAATCAAAATCACAAGGAGCTATCACCCTTAGGTGATTAAAAAAAAAAAAGCCAGTAATGAGTGCTGGTGTTGTGGAGAAAAAGACACCCTTGTGGTAGGAATGTAAATTAGCATAGCCACTATGAAAAAAACAGTATGGAAGGTCCTCAAAAATCTAAAATAGAACTTGAGTATGACCCAGTAATCCTACTCTTGGTTATTTACCCAAAGGACAGGAACATTCAGCCAGAGAGGCATCTGCATGCATGTCCATATTTACTGCAACATTATTCACAATATTGACAAAGATCAACTTAAATGGCCAACAAACAATGAATGGACTAAGAAAATATGATGAGCATAGAACACAATGTACTACCACGTGGCCACAAAGAACAAAATACTGCCATTTGACACAAAATGGACAAACCTAGAAGATACAATGCTAAATGAAAGAAGCCAGACTATGAAAGACAGATACTGTACATGCCCACTTTATAGCAATGTCCACACACTATGGTGGAAAATGAAGTACTCAGTGGCATGGAAGTAGAGTAATGGCAGATATTAGAAGCTCCAAAGGGGGATGGAAGGGTTTGGGAGAAAACGAGCACGAGCAACAGACACAAGAATGCATATAAACAAGTGGAACACAGTATGGAGTTGTACATCACAGCCCAATAAACATGCCACTGATGATTCAATATATACTTCCAAAAGAGAAATACATTATCAAATGTGTACATTATGCTCAGTGTTGAAGGCAATGAATATGTCTATATCCTTTATTTGACTTTTACACACTATATGCATTCTTTGAAAAACTGAACTGTACCCTACAAAGATGTACAATGAATGATTATTTGTAAACCAGGAATAATAATTTCTGTTTAACTTCTAGGACAGCTTGGTGGGGCTGTGGTAACACACCTTTCAAGCAATGCTGAATTAACGTGGAAGACTGCAAGTTCAGTTTCCCAGCTGACCTCTACGTGCTAGGTGTACATTATCCTGGCTGGCTGGTTAGACTATGTATGTATGGGGAGATCAAAGCATAAAACCATGTCAGAGTGCTTATTTTCCTCTCTCATACTCTCACGAAACAAAGAAACTAAAAAATTTTGGGCCAACCCTATAGCACAGCAATGAAGCACTGTGCAGAGGAAGCCCAAACACACAACGCTGACCAAGGTTCAAATCCTAGTCCCAATACTTTGTGGAAGATACCAGCCATGTCCATTTTCCATCCTATCTAGAATCCTGATAGGACAGAACACTGGAGAAAAATGAACTATGGCGTGACGGGACCCCATTAGGGGCAGGGAGGGTTTCTCTCTCTCACTTGCACATGCCCTCTAACACCAAAAAAAAAAAAAAAAAGAAAAAGAAAAAAACATTTCTGTGCAAAAGACACAACAGAATGAAAAGGCAATCTATAGAACAGGAGAAAACATCTGCAAATCATATATCTGACAGAGTTAATATCTAGAACATATAAAGATCTCATACAACTAATCCATTTCCCAAATGGGCAAAAGACTTTAATAAACATTTCTTTAAGCACAAGATTCAACACCACAAGTCATTAGGGACATGCAAATCAAAGCCAAAACAACACTTCAGGTCCATTAGAAACACTACTATTAAAAATAAAACAAAATTGGGACTAGCAGATGGTGTAGCAGTTATGTCACTGGAGTTCCACATGGCCAACCATGGTTTAAGCCCCAGACCAAATGACTTGAAATCACACCAGGCACGTGTGTATGCATGCCCAAGATCCCAGGAGGAGAACAGAGAAGGGAATACAGAGTGGCCACCCGCCATGAAGGGTGATTTCTCACTTTCTCTCTTCCTATCTCTTGGTCACATGTGTCCTTTAGCAAAAAATTTTTCAATGGTCTGTCTCTCTCCAGGGAGTGCATGTGCCCTGGGGCAAAAACCTCTTAAAAAATAAATAAATAAATAAATAAATAAAATTAAAAATATAACTGTCATATGATCTAGCAATCATGCTTCTGAATATATATCACAAAGACTTGAAAGTAGGGATTTGATGAGATATTTGTATACCTAAGTTTACAGCAGTATTATTCACAAGCATCTAAAGGTAGAAGCAATCCATCGTCTACTGATATCTATGGATGAGGGGATAAACAAAATACGGTATATAAACACGATGGATAATTCATCCTTAGTAAAGAAGGATATTCTCCTGAAAATCCTTCAATGGGTAAATCTTAAGAACACCATGCTAAAATAAATATGCCAAGTCTCAAAAAGACAAATACTGTACAATTCCACTTATATGAGGTTCCTAGAGTAGTCAAATTCATAAAAAGTAAGATGGTAACTTGCATGATCTTGGGGGTGAGAAAAATAGGGAATTATTTAATGGACATAGAACTTTAGTTTTAAAAAATGAAGACTTCTGGAGATTGGATGCACAATAATACAAACATACTTAACACTACTGAACTGTACAATTAAAAATGTTGAAATTGGTCAATTTTATGTTATTCGCATTTTTGCCACAATTGAAATATTTCTTTTTAAAAAATAATTCCAAAGAGCCATACTACCTTTACATTCCAAAATCACTTTGTACTCTGAAAGATACCAGCCTTCCTCATCTCTTCAAAATCTTTCATGGAATCATAATTTCTGTAGAAATCTGCATATGCTTTCTTTCTTGGTTCAGCCACAGCAAACTAAAAAATAAAATAATCCATTAGGGTTTATTTTCAGATTATTAGAAACTTAACATCAAAGACAAGGTGATTCACAATTATTCTGCATGTGTACATACACATGCACAAGGTGCTAGTTGAAAAATAGGTCACGATTCTCTTGCCTCAGCCTCTCAAGTAGCTAAGACTACAGGTATGCAATGCCTAGCTCCTGCAGATCAGTTCTTGCTCTGTTGCTCACACTGGTGATGTGCTCATAATCCTCCTGCCTCAGACTCCCAAGTAGCTGCAATTACAGATGCATACCACCATGTCGAGCTTTTCTAGCGTGGGCCAGGAATTGAACCCAGGCTTCCGATATGACTTCAATCTGCTAAGCAATGACATTCAGTATGTGGGTTATCACAACTAGGCCTGCAATAGGTTTTGACGCATCCCTTAATTTGAACTTGTCAAATCTAAAAGCACTCTCTCGAAATCATACAGCAGAGGGTGGTCCTTCTTACCTATGGAGAGATTATACCTTTTCCTGGGTAGGGTGTGTGTATGTGTGTGTTTGGTGGGAAGAGTACAGCCTAGCAAAAGCAAGAGGATGATACCCAAAAAGTCAAAAACTGTAAGGGAGAATACAACAGTTTCCCCTCCAGCAAAGTCTACATTCCCCCCCAAATGAAACATACTAAAATATTACGGTTCAATTTAAGCCACCATATGAATTTCAGAATTCAATTTGAAAATAGTTTGGTAACCTCTGAAAGGCACAAGAAACTTTTTCTGACAAGAACAATTCAAGGTGATTAACACTTCAACATGAGTAGTTGGCATGACTTATTTTATAAATGAGGAAATGGACTCCTGGACCACCTTCCCCCAACCCCCATTAGTGGAAGGTAACCGGGTCTGTAAGGGCAGCCTGCGACTAGGCAGGGTAGCTACCAGTTAGAAGGGGCAAGAATCCACACAAGAAGTCCCAAAGACCTGAACTTTAATAGTGATGATGACGACACAACTGAAAAATGAACTCTTCATATTTCTTGGTCCTTACTCCCACACTAATTTTCTCACCCATCCACCTTTATTCCACATTCATTTATTTTGTGCCCACTATGTGCCTGGCATCAGAGATCTCAAAGAACAAGCAAAGGATTTACTTTCTGTGTTTGTCTCTTCAAGGGGTCCCAAAGCATGGGTCCATTTTGCATTTTTGCTGTGTTCCCCCTCTTTGCTCTCAAATTCTCCCTAACTCAAGGTCAAAATCCACCTTTTCTATCAAAGAACTCTGACCCACGAACCCTTCAACTCAAACCACATTCTTTCATTTAGTTCTACTTTGTAGTGAGCTCTGATTTTTTTTACCTCAACTTGACTCTAAGTTCTTCAAGGATGGGGTTTAGTCATACACCTTTTGTAGCCTCTAAAGCATGTAGCACTCTACATTATCTAAAACTATACTGAATTTTAAAACTTCCTTTTATTTTTGATACTCTTATGCATCCACTTATGTGTAAGGCACTCATCAATATGGTGCCATCATAAAAAAGATATGGCATCTGCTCCTTATTGAGAATCACAGAATAGTGAAGAATGTGGACAACAAATGACTAGTTTTCAGTACAAAGACTTACAAAAGCAAAGTTCTGAATTCTCTCATGGGCTATGATGACAGCATGGCAATAAATACGTACTATCATAAACACTTTTATGGCAAAGAGTTGTAAGTATAACATGCAGCCTTTGATTAAAACAAAGGGAATAGGGGCAAGCAGATGGCGTAGTGGTTAAGTCAGACTTCCACATGGCCAACTGAGATTCAAGTCCCAGACTCGGTGGCTTCAAATTCACACTGAGGTGTGTGTGTGCATGTGCCCAAGATCCCAGAAGGAGAACAGAGGAGAAGGTATTGTAGTGTGGCCATCTCGCTGGGTGGAGGCGGGTAGATTTCATCTGTCTCTTTGTGTCTCTCTGGTAAGCCCATGTGCCCTACAGCAAAACTCTCCAAAAAAGGGGAATAATGTTAAAAATCCGCAGATGAGGCTGGTCCCACTGCACAGTGGTTAAGCATAGTGTATTGGGAGCCAGATGCCATATGGTTGATAAGCCTGAATACCAGCCCGTGTGTGTGTGCATGCCCCAAATTCTGATGGGTCGAAGAAATGAAGTTAACAGGACTGTGGCATGACCATATATATTTCATTGGTGGATGTTTTCTCTCCATCTCATTTTTTCTGCCTCCCCTCCCTGACAAGGGCACAACCCTCTGACAACAAAATAGTCCAAAGACAGCACAGTGTTAAAACGCAATTCTGTGACAATTCTTCAATGTGCCAAACAGAACTACTGTTTTACCCACTCCTCCACATACTTAGTTTCTATTATGGGCTGGTATTTTTTTTTTGGAGAGGTTTTTGCTATAGGGTGCGTGGGCTCGCCAGACAGACAGAGACAGACAAAAAGCGAGAAATCACCCCCCAGGGGGGAATGGCCATGCCGCAATCTCTTCTCCTCCATTCTCCTCTCGGGATCTTGGGCACGCACGCATGTACATGCGCCCGGCGTGAGTTTTAAGCCACCGGGTCCGGGACGCGAACTGCAGTCAACTACGTGGGAGTCCAGGGACACAGCCATTACACTAACTGCTGGTCCATGGGCTGTTTTCTCCCAAAACTCATGGGCTCAAGTCCCACCTCCCTAGCCTTAGAATGTAACATTTGGAAAGAAGGCCTTTTAAAAGGTAACTAAGTTAAAATGGGATCTTTAGGGTGGGTCTTATTCCAGTAAGAATGATGTCCTTCTAAGAAGAAATTGGGCTACAGGCATATGTCCACAGAGGACCAGGTGAAGACAGGAAAGACACCCCTCTACAATGTAAGGAAAGAGGCCTCAGAAGACACAACTCTGGGGACAAACTCCTAGCCTGCCAGATCTGTGAGTAAATGTCTGTTTAAGCCACCCAGTCAGGGGCTCTCTAGATAACTACCATGCCTTCATTTAAAGACGCAAGACAAGCTACCTAGGGAATATGAAGTAGTTTTCATCCCAAAGGTTGAGTACAGGGCAGATAAAAAAAGAAAATAATGTGCTCCTTTAAAAGATTCTTCACAGGGCTAGCAGGTGGGGTGGTGGTTAAACATGCTGGATTCCCACGTGGACGGCTGTGGTTCAAGTCCCAGACTTGGGTCTTGCTTTCTCACTTTCCCTTTCTCTCTCTGGTCAAATTTAAAAAATAATAAAAAATGGAATTAAATAAATATTTTTTAAAAGATTCTTCACTAATTATGAAAATAAAAAACTTTTAAAACTAAAAATAGACTTTATGATCTTAAGTTTAAAAAAAAAAAAACTTACCTTATAGAAAGCTGCAACACTCAGGGATACAATGAATGCTCCAACAATATGAAATCGCAGACGCTTGGCCAGAAGACCACGCATCTGAGGTTTCGCCAAAGCACTGGAAGCCATGGCAGTTACTGTGCCTGAAAGTAAAATAATGAAAGAAAATCTTAGAACAGAACAAGATACCTAGAAAACATTCCTGCAAAACATTTTTTTAGTAACTCTACAGAGACACAGGAGTGGACTGACTCCTCCTCCTTCAAAGCCTCAGGTATTTAGAGGCTCTAGCCTACATCATCTTTTGCCCCATCTCATCTGCTGAACTCAATGGACACACCACCAGTGAGCCAAAACTTTACAAACAAAAATCTTTGCCAACTACCGGAAAGGTAAGCGGTGGCTCTGGATCAGAAACGACAAGGGCAAAACGTATGTATGGCATTTACCCTAGTAACTAACAACTCATTAAAACCTGGTGACAATTCTGTAAAATAACGCAGCACCGACGTTCACCAAGTTCGCACGGACTCGGGAGAGAACCTAGCAGTTGTCTCGAAGGCCCAAGCTCTGGAACCGCTACCCCGCCGGATCTCATCCCGGCCTGAAGGCTGCCGTCCGCCGGCAGCCCCTACAGACCTGCCCAACTTCGACTAAACGGGGA